CTTGTTGATTCATGTATGTTGAACCATTCTTGCATCTTGGGAATGAAACCTGTTCGATCATGAAGTATCACCTCAATGATAATATGCTGCATTCTATGCTAATCTTATTGAGGATCTTCACATTTACATTCATTAGAGACAGGCCTGTTAACAGTTTTCTTTTTTAGTTGGGTCTTTATCTGGTTTCAGAATCAGAGTGATGCTGACCTCCGTAAATGAATTTGGAAGCACTCCATCCCTTTCAATTTCTTTCAGGAGTGTACAACGACATCCTTTAAGGTTGCACAGAATTCAGCAGTAAATCCAACAGTCCTAGGATTTTCTTAGTTGGTGGATTCTTTAACCCTATCTCAAGTTCATTGCTTGTTATCAGGTTGTTTTAAATTAGCTTTTATAATTTGTATGACCCTAGGAATTTGTGTATTTCTTCAAAATTTTCTAATTTATTAGGATACAATTTTTCATAGCAGCTACTATCTCCTGGATTTTGATGGTGTCCATGGTCATTTCATCTTTTTTGTTCTTACTTTCATTGATGTGAATCTTTTCTTTTCTTTCTCTTGTTAAATTTGGCCAAAGGTTTATTTTGTTTATTCTTTAGAAAACCAGCTCTTCAGTTCATTGATTTTTGTATTTTTTCAACCTCAATTTCGTTGAATTCTGCTCTAATCTTGATGACTTCCCTTCTCACTTTTGTTTTTCAAGTACCTTGAAGTTCTTCGTAAGTTTATTTACTTCAGCTCACTCTACTTGCTTAATGTGAGCATCACATAGTTCATTTCTGGATGTTTGTGTGCCATGAGAAAACTGTGCCCAAAATTTACCAACGCACATTATGGCTATTGATTTCCTGAGTTCCACCCCCTCCGTCAACAACTTTCACCCTCAGACAGGTCTTCCATTCTTGATTTCTAGAGACTACTGACAATGACTCCATAATTTAATCTACCAGTTATTCCAGAACTCAGTATGATTTCTTGTGTGTGTGTGTGTGTGTGTGTGTGTGTGTGTACTGGGAACTGAACTCATGACCTCGTGTATACACTCAGGTGCTGTGCTGATGAGCTATATCCCTGGGCTCTCACTATGATTTTAGGTTGTCTTTTAGTGTCCCTTCTTACTTTGATGTGAAATAACCTGTTCATATTATTCATAAGACTCTTTCTATGTTAGGATTATCCTTAATGGGGAGAATGAGGGAAAAAAGGGTACGAGCACCCTCTTTTACTCATATGGAATCAATTTCCCCACCCATTGGTCCCATTTCCTCCTATACTCTTCTCCTGAAACGTAAATTCAAAATAAAACGATAACCACAAATATAACTTCGCCAATTGCCACATTCTGTGCCTTCATCTCTGACACTCACAGGTTCACTGATCGTTTATTGTATGTAGAGACAAACACACCTGCAATGCCTATACCTTGTCACTAGCTCTCTGAGCATCGAGACCCCAGGGCCACCCAGCGGCACAGAGTGATTTCTGGAGTCTGTCTCCTCAGTCATGAGCTAGTCTGTCTCCTAGTCATGAGCCTAGTTCTTCTCTCTGAAGTTATATTCATTTTTAGAATCTGTATTTATATGGAGCAATCTCTACTTTTAAAGCTTTTTAAGAGGAAAACATATATAACTAGTTTGTTTTGTTTACGCCCACTCCTGCTAACGTAACTGTGTGACTTCCTTCCCTCCCTATCCTAGAGTGATTCTTCCTTTATTATATTCCAGATGATGTTGAGTGTAGGGGTTTGCATTACTTCATGCTTTCTCAGGGAAACTGTATGGCAGCAGAGTGTCAAATGCCCAACCTTTAGACAAATGAGATGGGAACACTAGCTGACAACTCCTCGGATATCCCCAGCCTTAGTTTTAAACTTCATATTAAAAGTAAAGCTCCTATCTTATAATCTGAACAACTACTTTTAAGATAACAATATGTAACATATTAACTAGCCTTAATTTCCTATTTTTTTTGAAATTCTGTACCATTTTTATCTTTTTGTTTTCAAAATTTAAAAACATCTAGAGGAACTCTTTTTAAAAAGCTCCTAGCAACAGCAACTGGGCAAACCATGGTGGAAACCATGGCAGCCTGGCTTCTCCTCCCTCCTCCACTCTTCTGCCTGATGTTTCTGTGCTGAGACCTCAGGTCTGTAGTCGGCAGAGGCAGAGAGGAGACTGGAGGGTGGCGATGGTACTTCAGCTCAAAAGACTTGGTCTTACCTCTTGATTTGCCTCCACATTCTAACTGGACAACTCTGAGTAAGTTTCCTCACCAGCCAGAGCTCAGTGTTTGCATATTAAGATGGAGATGATAAGCACCACAAAAGACTGTTTTGTGGCTATCAAAGAAGAAAACAGATGTAAACATACTCAGAACATTGATGATTGGCTTTGGGGCAGAACAAGCTCATTTCTAAAGCATAAACGGAACTATGAGGATTGTTCTCTCGAAGTAAAGCTGGGTGGAGCATAGGTGGGAAAGAAAGGAGATTGGTATCACCAGGTTCCATGGTGTTTCCTTTTAAATAAAGTATCTGTATCTTTAAAAATCTAAAGAAACCAATTCTGAAAGGAGCAACTCTCCATGATAGAAGTACTGAACATTTGGCCTTATTACTCATTTGTAAATAAACATCCTACAAATGTCACTCTCCAAGTCCTAACTTTGAATGGCTATTGCTCTGAGCTATTCAGGACAGATGATACAATTGACATAGAGTTCCATCTTCATAGCCCAGCACAGCAGCGGTACTTCTGTTTTCTAGGGCTGGCTGCGGTTTCCCCATGAAAGCCCACGGATAGGTGCACACAAGGATATACACACATCCTTAGAAGGATGACAGTAATCACTGCTCTGTTCAGGCCCACGGCTTCCCACACAGGCTGCCACTCATTGTGCCTCTTCCGTGTGTAACCAACCTTCCCGTGTTGCCCTCTTCCATGGTCACTCACCCCTCTGCAGCCTCACTGTGCATGGTCACTGTGCAGCCTGCCCACACTGTAAACAGTTCTCATATATGCTGATGTGAAGCCCAGGATCCTACCAGCTGAAGACAGGAACTTACCTCCTTTCGCAGCTTTCCACTGACCCTGCTCCTCTGGGGTAGCAGTTTCAGCAGACAGGATTCTCTCCCTGCCACTCCTACCTGCCAGAAAAGTGTCTCTGGGGATTTTTCAGAGCCTTTCATTCTCTGTCTCCCCAAGTGAGTCAGGTCTAACCTGTGTAACCTGAAGATGAGAACACTGGCATATCATAAAGAGCTGGCCTCTGGGTGCCCCCGAGAGACTAGGTAATCACCTCTCTGCACAGACCCAACAGGAGCCAGCTTCTTGGGCCACAGCACCAGCTCAGGGCCACTGCTGCTTCCATCAAGCAACACCCTTGCTCAGCTGAGGCCAGGCAGGCCATCGGTACCGATTCCTTTGACCTTGGACACAGAAATAGTACATGGTGCACAGCCTTCACCACCCATTCATCCACCATCCCCTCCATTCCTTCCAATTTGCCCATCTTCTGGAATATCAGATGTGTGAGGATGTGGGTTCTGACTTCCATGTCATTGTGTGCCATGCGCCAGATTTCTGAGCTGTTCTACCTATGGTTAAGTGAAAGGTACTGGGATTTGAATTGAGAACATATTTGATTAGCTCCGGGTACCTCCCTCCAGAGCTAGATTGGACAGCGGGCCAGATCTCAAGTAATACACAGTGGCTTGGTACAGGCCTGGTTATGGTTCCTCTGCCACAGGAATGGTGATTAATCAGGACTTACTTGGATGTCAGCAGCTTTGCAATGCTTGTGCTTTTTGCCAAAGGCTATTTTAAGCTGTGCTGCCTCCTACCAAAGATAAAGGTGAAACCACAATTTCCAGAAAGAAATTCAAAGTGCTTATACTTATTCCAGTGCACATACAGTATACTGAGGTACATATTCAAGTTATTTTTATTTAAGTCCACTTAAAATATCACATAATTAAAGTCAATATACATGGGTTTCAAGTAAGGATAAATACAGTAAATTTTAGATACACATACAGTTCAGTTATAAATGTGCAAATATACATTTCTGCAAGTATTCTATGCAGTGAGCCTTGATAAAGTGTCATTTTCCTTTTTTATTCTACACTAAATAAAATCACCGAAATGTTGTTGATAGCTGACTTTCAAGACACTTAAAATTTTTGATGTAAAAGAGCATTTAAATATTTTGAAGTAGGTGACATTCTTGACTGTCCTCAGTACTTCCTTTTTAATAAAAAAATCCCCCAAAAGTAGTGTATTTATATCACTTCATAGTCCAAGTATAAATCAAATTTTAAGCAAAGGTAAAGTTGGTCAAGTTTTTCAGATGCTCTGAAAAATGTCAGAATTCAGTCGAATTTATGTTTCTAAACCTAGATAACAAGTGTCTAATCCATGTGGCACACAGTTCCCACATTAAACTCTTTCAGACGTTTTTAGCTGAAGAGGGGGAAGTGAGACTCAGACACTGGGCTCCTAATCAGCCACAGCCACGCAGCCTAAGTCTCAGGTCTGGCCAGCTCACTGTGGCTCACTGTCCGAGCTTTGGTGTGAGGCTCGGTGGCTGCGCCCCTGGCACTGCTTACCAAGGCACTGTGAGGCCTTCTCTGTCCACAGCTGTCCAGGCAGCACCTGGCGCATCTCAGGGATAGTCCGGGATGCTGTCTAGTGGAGTGCCTGGGCATCTCGGGGACTGTCCCTGGACACGTCCAGGGAGGTGCCGAGGGCGGGCCTGGCACGTGACTCAGGGACCCATCCCAGGTGTACCTGGCACATTTTAGAAACAGTCCAGTGTGATCGTCCAGAACGGTGTCCTGGGCGCACCTCGTGTGCCTCTCAGGCTCCATCGCCCAGCGCCACGCGGAAAATCGTGCGCCCAGGTGCATCTGCACAGCATCTCGGTGCCCTCGGGCTCGGCTCAGTGGGTCCCCAAGGCCTTACCTGAGACCACGCCCGCTCCTCGTCCCTCTCCCCGCAGGTGGCCAACCTGCTGCGGCTCTTCCGCATACCCCAGGTGAGCTACGCTTCCACCAGCGCCAAGCTCAGCGACAAGTCGCGCTATGACTACTTCGCGCGCACCGTACCCCCCGACTTCTACCAGGCCAAGGCGATGGCCGAGATCCTGCGCTTCTTCAACTGGACCTATGTGTCTACCGTGGCGTCGGAGGGCGACTATGGCGAGACCGGCATGGAGGCCTTCGAGCAGGAGGCGCGGCGCCGACGCATTTGCGTTGCGGCGGCCGAGAAGGTGGGGCGCTCGGCGCTGCGCCGCTCCTACGACGGCGTGGTGCGAGAGCTGCAGCGCAAACCGGGCGCGCGCGTCGTGGTGCTGTTCACGCGCGGCGACGACTCGCGCGAGCTGCTGGCGGCCGCGCGCCGCGCCAACGCCTCGCTCACGTGGGTGGCGAGTGACGGCTGGGGCGCGCAGGACAGCGTGGTGCGCGGCAGCGAGCGCGCGGCCAGGGGCGCGCTCACGCTGGAGCTGGCCGCGCGCCGCCTGCCGCAGTTCGACCGCTACTTTCGGGCGCTCACGCCCGCCACAAACTTGCGCAACCCCTGGTTCCGCGACTTCTGGGAGCAGAAATTCCAGTGCAGCCTGCGCGGGGGCCCGCGGCGCGCCTGCTCCGAGCACTTGGCCTTGGACGGCAGCAACTACGAGCAGGAGTCCAAGATCATGTTCGTGGTGAACGCCGTGTACGCCATGGCTCACGCCCTGCATCGCATGCAGCGCGCACTGTGCCCCAACACCACCAAGCTGTGCGACGCCATGAAGGTCCTGGACGGCCGCAAGCTGTACCGCGACTACCTGCTCAAGATCAACTTCACAGGTGAGGGCTGGCAAGGGGTCAGGGGCGAGCAGCCCTCTACCCCAGGTGGGAAGCGGGTGACAGACCACAGAATGAGAGGCTGATCCCCAGAACACAGGGCCTGAGGGGGGTGCCATCCGTGTGGACCCCAGCTGGAGCACAGCTTTACAGGTGAGGAGGGGGAAGCCTGACCCTTAGGGAGAAAGGGGTGAAATCCCCGCAGTACCCCTATTCCTGTACCTCAGGCAGGAAGTCCTTTCTGTTGACTCTGAGGTGCATGGGGGTGAAACCCAGCCGGGACTACCTGATGGAGATCAGCTGTGCAGGTGAGTGGGAGGCGCATCTCGATGCACAAGGGTGCAACCCAGAGGGACCCAGGGCCACCCCACCTGGCAGAAAGCCACAGAAAGTTTCAGACAACCAAACAGATGTGCCGTGTGGCATTCTTGCCCATTCTTGAGTATGTCTTGGGCGCCACACTCTGTGGAAATGAAAGACCCACGCCAGCAGATACCCCGCGGGGGTGGCTGCCTGGTGGTGGCCAGGCTGAGGGGCACTCCTGTTTGTCGTGAGCTGTGAGTTGGTCACACACAGTGTGGGCACTTACTCTTGAGTGGAATTGACACCTTGTTAAGGAACATGAACTTCAGAGCCTGCCTCATGGGTGATTGCAGCAAAAGAAGTGCTCAGCTTTCATAGTGAGTGAGAAAAGATGTCACTGTTCCCAGAGACACATTAGGGACTCTACAGGGAAGATGTGTGAACCAGGTTGGCTTCCAGGCATTGCAAAGTATTGCATAACTATACAGGAACATTTCCTGTGGGTTGGAAGAGTTGTGGGTTTTCTCAATTTGTGCCTTAAAATGAAGCAGCTGTTTCCCCAGCTTTAGGAAGTACACACTGAAGGTCAGCAGTGGCCTTACAGAGGCATGCAGAGGGGTTTTGCTGACTCTGTTTCTACATATGCTCTAAATATTTCTAAATGTAGTACTTCATGTTAGTACATTATTAAATAAAATCATCAGGCTTGTATTCTCTGTTCAGGAGCACCCAAAATGAGCCCACTCGTGCACTTGTTCTGGGGCCCATTGCATAATCCCAACTATAACGTGGTAAGTAGTAACATCATTGGCACAGGAGATTTTGATGCCAAAACCAGGACAGTGGCGGGATGCTGTCCTTTGCCTGCATTCATGGTAGTCTGCAGTCCGTTTCCATTCACTCAGCTCCATCGGTGCACATGGGGTTTGCACCTTGCCCTTAGAAACTAATAAGTCATGTAGCCTGAAGATTACAGGACTGGTAGTGAGTGTCAAGTCTGTTTTAGAATCCTCACCCCTCTCCCAATATCTTAAAAATGAGCACAAACAACACCTGTCCCCCAAGTGGCAGGACAAAAGTAGTGGAAACTATGTCAGTGGTCTGCCTCCCTCCTCTGGTGAATGCAGCCTCTTTCCAGGGAGGTGATGAAAGTGAGACAGAGCCAAATATGGGGGCTCTGTATTCAGAAGTGTCATGATTCGTGCAGAAATCACAAAATTACAAAAGTAGCACTAAATCAGCATTCTTCTCAAAATCCTAGGTCAGTTTCAAGAATAGACCTAGGAGCAAGTTAGAGTATTTTTAACAAGTGGACTCAGTTACCTGTAAGGAGCATCTGTAATGCACGGACATCCTCCAGGCAGATGCAGTACTACAGTGTGTGGGGCCTTCAGCCTCACCTCCTCTACCTAGACTGTCTGCATATATTTTGTTATTCTGGTTTTCTCCTTGCTCCCTAGTATTCTAATACAACTGTATCCACTCATCCACACAAAATAAGTGATTTCAGACTTCAGGGAGCCCTTGCGACTGGCTTCATATAACCCAGACATTTTCCTTCATCTGACTGCTTGGCATTCAGAAGCAAAGAGAAGTGAAGTGAGGCCATTATTTGGGTAACTAAAGCAGAAGTGTCTTCATTTTGTCTGTCTTGTTCAGTTACTGGCTTTGGTTCTAGAATTGGGTTTGGCTGTGCAGACCTGACCATAAAATGCTATTTTAGCCTCTCCATTTATCAGACATCCCTGTCATTCCCCAACTCTGAAGAGGGAAGGAGAGAGAAAAACAGATTTAAATTCCAGAAAATAGAAAGAATTCGGACCTGCCACAAGATAAATATGCTTAGCGATGACACTCTAACAAGAAAATTCATTAGAGAAAATATATTACTACAGGAGGATATCAAGATGCTAAGTTAGCTAAACAGTTCACTTATAAAAATAAATACAAAGAATTGCCTGTAGAATCCAGCATTTCATAGCAGGTATATATATACATATATATCAGAATGTATATTACGTGTTATAATATGGATTTAGAACACCAATTCCAGCATCCAATAATTTGTACATGACCAAATGCATGCATTCAAGTAAGTATTAAGTAGGTAATAGTTCACATATATGACATGTTACTGTGTTAAAACAGAAAATTCTCAAATGGTTTTTTTCTTTGTTAGATATTCTGAAGCAAGTGTGTTTTACCCTTCTTCTGAAATTGTGTCTGTTTTGGTAACTTCATTATTAACATGCTGGTCTAGGCATCCTATCGGACACCCAGCAAACATGGCAGACTGTTCCAGAGGTTCAGGAGTCCTTGAGGAGTCCTCTGGAAGAGGACTCCTCATGCCGCACACATTTCCCCATGAGGAGGGACAGCGACAGCCCCCTTCCCTGCAGGGTGAGAGCCCAGGCCTCCTGACCATACAGTGGAATCACTCCTGGTGCTGTGGTGCGTCCCATTAGGTGGTCGCTGCACAGCTCCCCATCAGTCTTGTTTGGAGTTAGCCCAGCATGAGCCTTTCACGGGACGGTTTGCAGAGCTCTGCCTTGTTAAATTCCCCTACCCCAGGGGCTCTGCTGCATAGGTGCTGACTGCTGCCCACTGTCTCTACCCATCTCCTGCCCCACATCCTCGTTCAGGGCTCTTTCCCCCAGACAGTGCCAGCCCCCAGCGTGCCCCGCCTTTGCTCTACCTACATTAGGTGGGAACAAACCAGTTCCTCTCCCAGCCGGCACCTCACCTTCTTCCCATCGGCAGGATTTGGACTTCTGGAACTTGATAGCTGCCTGTCCTCATTTTCCCTTATCGTTGTGGTGTTCCATCAGTCCTGCCCAGCAGAGTGTCTGGCTGGCCCTGCCTCGGCAGAGACCCGGAGTCTAGCCACTTCTCATCCTGCCTGCTTCCACTCAGTCCCAGCCACCCTGTTGGCTGATAGGCTCCTGCCTGCTTCCAGACAGCCACTGTCTATTCTCACCGAGCACCCAGGATGCCCCTCCGATGGCAGTGCCCACCCTGCTCCACCCCACTGAGGACACCCACGTCACTCATGGTCACGGCCCAGTCTTCCTGCCAGCAGGACCCTTGTCTGCCCACGCCGTCCTTGGGCCTTGCTGTCCACACCCCTCCAGTCCTCCTGCTCTGGCTCCAGTCTCAGAGCTCTGCTGCTGCCCATCTCTGTTTTGGAGGCTCCCTCCGCCCACACTCCTCTTACCTGCCGTTACTTACACACTCCCTTCCTAGCAGACCTGCACTGCCACCGCTTTAGAGCGGCCGTGCCCACCTGCCAGCTCCCACCGCAGGAGCCCCCTCCCCTCCACGTGCAGACGTGTGCCCTGACTCACATATTGCTCCTGTCGGTGTTAGCAGACTGTGAGCTATATACAAGGCACAGGACTTAGGTTTTCTCTTGGCTCTCAAATCCCATCATGGTGTCTTGCATACGACAGACATCATTCCTGAAGGCATGAGGAAAAGAATCAATAGATTAATAATGATCACTGTGAGAACTTAATATGTATGTTTTATTCATTAGCAAATGAATTTCTGAACAAAATGTGCAGTATATGAGTTCCTAAGTGACTTCCTTTTATGTAAACACTGCCTTGGTTGAGTTGTATCATTTCCCGTGAGATAAACGTGAAACCAAGCACACTGCAGCTCGCAGAGGTCCCTCACAGCCGTGCCGTGGAAGGCTCCAGTCCACAAATGATTTTCTTCAGGTGCCCATTTGGGTAGGGTGGGGGCCAGGCCGAAAGCCATGTTACCAAATCTAGTGCTGCTTTAGGAGGCACAGTGCCCCGGGAGAGGTGCGGTCCTTTACTCTGCTCCCCAGGCAGGCAGGAGCACAGCACTCACCAAGGGCCGAAAGGCAGCCCACAGGCTCAGCCCTGTGTCTTTGTGTTCCCGTTTTAGTGCTCTTGGGCCACTTTTCACTGAAAGTGGTTCATCAAACACCCAAGCTTTTCAAGATGACCCTGGAATTCCAAACATTAGGAGTCTTTTTAATGTGGGAAGAGTCATGGCCAGAATCCTAAAGTAGATATTTCAGTGAGAACGACACTGGGTAATGTGTGACTTTTCAAAATTACTTTGAGAAACACCATGTTCCCCTCATGTAAAAGGAAAGTGAGCTCCCCAAGATGGTAAGAACAGATTACAGCCCCTGGCCATCTGAAGGAACGCCACGTCCCTGTCGCTGTGTCCCTCACTTTTCATTCTGAGATGACCCGGATCAGAGGCCAGAATGAAGTCCTGGAGTCACAGAAGGCCTTCTGCAAAGGCCAGCTCAGCCCCCTCCTCATTCAGCAGAGGTAGAAACCCTGGTGTCGGCACTGTCCTCTCCACACACTGAAGCACACAGAGCTGAACTCCTGATGAGTACCTGGTGATGTGAGCACAGCAGCACAGGGGGAGGAGGAAGGCACCCTGGCCACTGAACAGACTGCCCGGAGCACCCCAGACACACCTAGAGTTGCCATCTCGGGTCCTTCGTCATCACACCCCATGTGAATCTCGGGATGGGCTGCGGTGTCTGAGAATGAGGAAATCACAAGCATGATACCCAAAGAAATGTAGCCAAGTATGGAGCAAACTGTCAGATTCCCAGCTTAGTCTTTCCTTAGGCCAGGCCTGCAGACCCAGCAGAAAAACCCTCAGCGCCCCCTGTTGCTTCTCAGAGGGGACCCCAGCATCTCATC